TTGACGCCATAAGATGTTTGAGACTGAGTTCTCATTTTCTGAAAAAAAAACTGTAGCACAACAATTAATAACATTTTACAATTTATAAAGTAAAAAAGAGCAAATCAACACAACACCTTAGTTTTACGCTATTCAATTGTGCAACAAAGCTCTCTCGCTTATGCTTGTATTGCGCGACTGGTGTATCAATATCTTGCCGCTGGTGTCCACCTTGACACTGCTTTCCATACTGGAAAGCGCACGCAGATTCTACAGCAACGCAGATATAACTTGCCAAATGAGTGCCTGCCATGTGGGCGGGTTAAACTTTGCCGCAGTGACTATGCAAATCTGTGGGCAACGCAAGGCTTAACAATTAAAAAATCCGTAAATACCATCTGAAAACACTGGAATGCGGTACGTATCACCGGCTCGCTGAAATGATGAAATATATAAACAGATTTCTTTGAAAATGATACCAAACAGGACACGCAATTTTACCCATGGTGTTTATTTACACTCCGATGTGGCTCAGGCAGAGCAGCGAGTATTATACCAACAGAATTGATGTAGTAGTGTATCTCTTTTTGTAAATAACCCTTTACAATACCATTCCCCACAATACTTGCTACGATTGAGGGCGCGATTGGCAAACTGAGTAGCTAAACGCATGTAACATACAGGGCATGTGCTGGCGCATTGGGGAATTCATTGAAGAAACAGGCGGTGCTGAAAGTGCGCGTTTGTTTCAATTTTTTAATTGAATGCAAAAAGTACGTACTTACATACATATATGCCACTGCACTGACATTCTCCGTTTCCCAAATCATTTTGGAAAGTAAACAAAGGAAAAGTGTACGACCGCATAAAATGATGGTCGTAGTCATTTGACATCGTCCAGTTACGATATTCTTCTTCAACTGCCTTAAGCAACTGCTTTTTCTCCATAGGATGACTATTTTGCACGAAAAATACATTTAAAGCAGGTGGAAAGCAAGCTAGCAAGGGAAATGCTCACGAATATGGCTTATTTTGCATTATAATACTAAGTAGAGCATGTGGGAAGAAAGAGCGAGACTTAACATTTTTTTAAAGGTACTTTAAAAAGTAAAACCTCACCGAGTCTAGTCATGTGCAAAGAAAATCCCAACGTTAGTATCAACACACGATTCAGATTATCACTTTCGCTCGATGCCACAGAAACAGGTAGTTTTTCGCTGAAATAACGAGACATTTGGGGTTGCATTACTAAGCCCAGTGATTAGCCGGCTTTCACCACAAATTCAATTGCGAAACGGTCGCACAGTGTAAAGTAGCTGACCGCGATGCTGGGCTGGTTGTGATGTAAACGATATAGGAACATTTCACGCAGTATATGTAGTATTGATGCTTGAAAACAGCGAGCACCAATTGCTAAATGAAACAATTGTAAAAAATTTGTTTGTTTTAGGGCTGTGCGATTATTCGATTACTCGAGCAAGTGGGTTAATCAGTTGTTCGGTTAATCAATTACTCCAGTAATCAATATTTTGATTGGATAGATAATGATTAATATGTTATAAATTAAGATAGATCAATTAATCGCACAGCTCTAGTTAGCTTCTTCCGAATAGCTTACGCAAGAATCCTTTTAATGCCCACCGGTTCGATTTTGGTGTGAACGAGCAATCGTACATAGCTTTCTACTAAAGCCGGCGCAGGTATGGAACTTTTTGACTGAGGCTGTAAAAACAAATAAAATTAATTTAGCTGCTTGGTTCCAAACAAAAAATTTGACCTGCATTACCTGTGGATTAGCGACATTTTACTGTGCACAGTTAAACTATCCAAAACAGCCATAAAGAACGGCGGTTGCCCCACAGCTGCAGTTTTATCGTTGCCATTTAACGCCTCGCTAAGTATATTCATTGATTGTGGAAAGTACTACACATTGATTTGTTAAACATGCATTACATATATGTATAATGCGTAAATTGTTGCCCATGCTTATGGACATCATTGTTTTGTGAAGAGCAAGATGCTGAAGAAAGCTGTTGACAAATAAAGGAGTTAGTTGACGTGCACTGAACAAGTCTAGAAAATTATTGTAGTCGTTCATTATAAATGCAAAATAAAGTAAAATAAAACATTGTTTTTTATACTTAAATGAAGTTCATATAATTTGCTGTAATAGCACTTACTTGCGTCCCTCGGCTGATGGCTGGCCTACCATCGAGATGATCGTTGATGGCATATATATTTAGTAAAATGAATTTAAAAAAAAAAATTGGTATAATTCGTTGTTGGACACGTTTTCCTATTGAAGAAGGTGCTTCGGAATTGTTATCAGTGCTTAGTGTTTCGGGATCATAAACAACCCTATCGTCGAAATCGGTTGTTTGATCGCACAAACGAAGATTATGTAATGTTGCGCACGCGTTGACTACTCGGCCAGCAAAACCGGGGTCATACAAAAGAACTCTTTGCTGTGATAAGCACCGCCATGTACCTTTAAGGACGCCAAAGAGTCTCTCGATCGGGTTACGCGCTTTACATAGTGCCTCGTTGTACCGAAACTTTGGCGTTCCTTCTGGCTCGTTAGGTAGAGGTGTCATCAGCTTACCAATCAAAAATGTGTTGTGGTTTCCGTTTTCAAACGACCGCTGCATAACCCGACGCGCTGCAGAGAAGCTCCAAGTAAATGAATCATGCCGTGCTCCCGGAAATTTTGCGTTTACGTTTAAAATTCTAAGATTTGGGTCACATATCTATAAGTTTTAATAATCATAAAATAACAATATAAATGTACCAGATTTGTTCTTACCATTTGCACGTTGATCGAATGGTACCCATGGTGATTGACATAATTTGATTCGTTATTTTTGGGAGCCAAAATAGAGACATGAGTGCAGTCGATTGCACCGATAGTTCCTGCTACAAATGGTGAAGGTGCAGACGCAAAAATTTCCTTTGCCGCTTGGCACTCCAGTTGCGTCATAGGGAACTTCACTTTAGTGGTAAACATTGAATTGTTGATCGCGTCAGTCACACGGTGTATGAAACGGCTTATCGATGTTTGGCTCATGGAAATGCCCCACTGTTCGCCTACTGGGCGTTGATAGCATCCAGTGGCATAAAACCTTAGAGCCGCTAGAACCTTTGACGAGTACATA